TCAGGGGGCTCCTGCAGACCCCGAGCGCTGCGGGGAACGGGAGCGCGCACCCTGCTCCTCGGGGGCTCCTGCAGACCCCGCGCGCTGCGGGGAACGGGAGCGCGCACCCTGCTCCTCGGGGGGCTCCTGGCCGCTGCTGCTGCCGCCGTACAGCCTTGCTGCTGCTACTTGCTGCTACTGCCTGTTTTGTGCAATTTTATTCTTAACGTTTTTGTCTGATCAGCCTTCTGAAACATAAGTTTTTGGAACAAAGCATCGAGAAATCATCCTTGAAGATAGCATCTGCCATGTGTTGTGGCCATTTTAGTAGTTGGATATACTGAGACTGGTTTCCTTTAAATCTATATTAAAATTTAAGAAAGTAAACTGAATAATTTCTAGAATAAAAAGAGCTAAAATCAAATAATAGGTATTGGTAACACCTGTTAATTATTTCAGTACTACAGTTACTAGAAGTGCAAAAGTGAGGGAAAAAGATACCAATTTAATTTGATGGTCTCCCTTGGATGAGATATATGAGCACACTCAGATGTGCCCTACAGCCATAATAATCTACCTATTGCTTAGGTCAGCTAAGGTGCTATGCCAAAACACTCGTTAGATACTGTTATGCCATAGGAATTAAGACATTTAGAAAATGCTTATTTAAAAACCCTCTTTATGCATATTCTGTCTGTAATAGTGTTCTATCCAAGAAGATCTTCTAAGTAACTCTTCAATTTGGAGCAGGGCCAGTATAATTTTGGTGGTGGGTGGGGTTTTTTTTTGTTGTTGTTGTTTTATTTTGTTTTGGTTTTGTTTTTTTTCCCCTGGAACAACCCAGCCGTGTTTCCTTGGTGTTGAGAGAGAAAACTTCCTGGGCAAAAATGAGACCAGTAGGCTCAAAAGGTTATCAAATAAGCTCATAACACAATTCTTGCTTTACAGTCCTTATTTCTACTTCTAATTTTCTCCTTTCCTATTCCTTTCCTACTTAGAAAGCATTACAGGATATTCATCCAACAAACATCCTAACAATGAGATTAACATTTAGTTTTAATAAATTTCTTCTGAACAGCTTTATCTCAGACACACATTTAAACTTGCACAAAAGATTTAGAAAACAAAACCAAAGACATTCCAGGCAAAAAAAAAAAACAAACCAAAACAAACCAAAAAACCCTAAAATTAAAAAAACAAAAGAAAAAAGTTAAAAGTAAGAAGAATCTGATGATAGACTTTCTGATGACACCTCATAGTTATTGTCAAGTGGCCATGTTCCATCCTTACCTTCTTTTGCTGCCTTTCAAGAAAAGAAGAAATACCCATTTGGACAAAATTAAGGACTTTAATTCTCAGTCACTCTATGGAAAATGTGCAGAAGTGAAACCTGTACTCATTTTGTTACAAGTCTGTCATTGGTATTTAATTAATCCATTAGCAGTTAATGATTATGGTCTGCTAAGTATATTTAACCTGCCTTGTTCTTCCATTCCCACTGCAGTTTTGTGTGTTCTGTTTCAGGAAAGACAGGGTTTTTTTCTCAGAACTGCTTCAATCTTAAAAAAAAAAAAATAATTTTTAGTGAAAAGAAGCGAAAGTAGTATTCTGTACAGTTTTTTAAAATAAATTTTACTGAAGAGGGTCTTGTTGTAAAAAATGTTTCACACAATCCTCTCCATTCCTTATTGAAATGTGCCATTGCTGCTACTCAGTGCTTGTGTGAGAGTAGCCACACAGGACCAGTGCCAATTAACTGGAGTTTAAGTAAGCAGATGTAGTACAACATTTTTCCTCCTTTTTCTTAAGAACAGCTATTGTGCTTAAAATCATTACTATGTCAAATTAATGTCACTGTTACCTCCTTAGTGGATTTTCTTAACACCAGCATTTTATGAGAGTGCCAAAGCAATTTAATTTGATTAGAAAATCTGGTTCCTCTTGTAAGAACAAGTCTGTGTTCATTTTATGTACTTAGGAGTTGAACTCTTTAACAAAAAAATTAAATTTAAAAATTTTTTTAAAAATTATTTGTTAGGGCTCTGGGCTTCATTTTTGAGGATGTAGCTGCAATAGAAGATACAAAAAACAGTTCTGCTCTTGGCCTGTTCTGACTCTTGACTCTGCAATGCATGCTTTCCTCATTGCTGAGCATTTTTCTTCATGTTTCACTGCCCTATCCTGTGATTTACAGTATTCCAAGACTTCTGATCTTCCTATTTTTTCCTTTCAGAAAATTTGCTCTTTATATTTTAATGCAATCCTTTTTAGGATAAATTAAATTATATAATGTATATGCAGGGCTAATTTGTGGTTTTGGCCACATTCTCTGTGTTTAGCTGTAGCATTAGATACAAATCCTGAAGAGGATTGCTGGAGGTTATGTAATGATAACTTCAAAAGTTGCAACAGGACATTCTTCCAAGTACTGAGTCAGAGAAACACATTCCTGTACTAAATGCCTATTGAATTGATAGTTCAATTTAGTAAGTCTTTGTTTACTCTTTAATCCTCACAGTTTTAGCTGGAAAACGGAATGTTTTTCTCTAGTAGCCAAGCTAAGGGAGTTGTTTTCTTTTTAGCATTTAGTAGGTAAAAGTGAAATCAGTTTTGCAAGAAAATGTGTTTTATAATTTTGTTTGTGTTGAGATAATAAATGCTACATACATGTCTATGTGCAAGACAAGAGGACAATTTATAATGTTGAATAGGATTCCATTGCTTAAAATTTGAATTTGTTACAAAAAAAAGATACTCTACACATTAATTCCAGGAGTGATCAACATCACATTGTTTTATATTAGTTACAAAACCAACTAACCAACTGACTTACCAAAAATTTTCAGGCTCTTGCTATTGAAGCTGATTTGGAGAAAAATCTTTTTTCTTTTTTTTAACACAGACATTTGACTGTCTGTGTAAAAGTGTGCATGGCTGTTGAGTCAGTCCTTTAAAAAATGCATGAGTCTCACAGCTGATTAGGAAACAGGAAGACAGTTACTTTGGCAATAGGTGATAGAGCTAATGACATCAGCATGATCAAAATTAAGGGCAAATTTAGTATTTAAAATGTCAATACAAATTATGGTTTATTAATGCATTTGTATTTATAGCAGGCCCATTACTTTTTAATTTGAATAATTACTTTTCCTTTTATGGAAAAAATAAGACCAACTCATATCACCCTTTATATTTGGCACTTGAGAGGAGCTATGACAAAGAAATAAATTAGTTTCTGTGGGGTGAACTTAAACTGAGTCAAACCAGTGTCTAATCCAAGGTCCTGTCTTTAGCAGTGACCAAGAGCAGATGCTTAGGAAAGAACAAAGTAAGAGGACAACCATTCCAAGTTCCTTGTGCATCTTCCTCCAGTCTCTGCATCTCAGAAAGATGTGTGTTTTCTTTGTTTACTAGCTCTTGATGGGGTGTTTTTGACCTGTAATTTTGGTCACATTTTAAAAACATGGTAAATTATAGCTCCCAAAAAACCCTTCCAAATGGTTATTATTTTCCTAAAATGTAAGGTTACAAACGTTTGCACTAGATAACATAGATAATGTACTATGACTGGAGGACTTGAGCATGTTGCTGTTTTTCAGATGGGGAGGCTGACAGCTGTTACTATTGTCCATTTTATTCACCATCCATTGTTTAAGTCCAGGATACAGCCCATGGAGCAGCAGAGAGTATGGGCATGCAGAGGCATATAATAGAGTATTCTATGCCTGATATCCTGGACATCCTTTTCATTCAAGGCATTTACTGAATACTGTGTTGAGTCCTTTCAATTGCCATCCTAAAAGCTTAGCTTTTCATGTGCTTTAAGGAGATTTTTTGGTCAAAAATGGTGCATCTTTTGCTATTAGCTGAAATTTCTTTCATGGCTTTATTTTACTCATGTCTGTGTCTTAGGAATAAAAAAATGATCCAAGTTTATTGCACAAAGGTGTAGTTATTTTACCTACTGTGAGCTGAACATTCAAATGCTGGACCTGATGGAACTTCTGCTGTTAGGGGCAACAGGAACCTCAGTATGTATAAGATATCTGTATTAGGGGTCATTTAGTCACAAGCAAGCAGCTCAGAATTAATGCTTCAAGAAAGCAGAGGAATATTGCATTAGTCATTATGTTTTGATAGCCTGTAAAATTTCCCAGATGACTGATGTTCGTATTAAGAACACAGTGTGGTGGGATTAGAATATCAGACACTATTAAGCATAGAAATGATTTATGCTTAGTTAATATTTGTAACTGCTGTTTATTTTACTGTCAGATATGTGGAAGATCCTTTTTATAGAGCAATAGCTACATGAGTCAGTAAAATGTAACTTTCTAATTAATTGATGGGCATTCTTAAAATGATATAAGATGACTTCATGATGAAAAATGGCCTGAGTTGTTTGCTTACATTATTTCATCTTGCTCCTACTAGCTTTGCCCTATAAATTTGTCAGAACCTCAAATTCCAGCAGCATATTGTTGAAGCAAGAGAAATGGAAAAATTGGCCTCCACAAAGTATTCAAGAAATGGATTGTTCTGTAACTGTTATATTTTATGTTTTGCTATGGCCATCTAGGTCTAGAAAGGGTTATAATTAGTATCAAGTTAGGTTGGATTTTCTTATATGTTTTGGTGGGAAGAAGAAAATGCAAAGGGGATTTAAACAGGATGTGTCAGGAAAGGAAGATAAACTGGCTTAGATAAAAATTAATCATAGCAATAAATTATTTTGCATAGGTTGCTTCTTAACCATCCCTTGTGGGATGAGAGGGACAGTACAAACTGAGTCATGAAGGCAAGTGTTGATTTGAACTTCGATGAATGCTTCTGGTGCTTATTTCAAATTTCCTGTAATCTAAAATAATGTTTTCCATTGTCAGTAATTATATCTATTGTCTGAAACTGTCTATGCAGTAGCTTAATACCCTGACATCTGGTTTTCAGCTGTTCAGTAGAAGTTCATTTCTCCCTTGGCTTGCAGGTGTACACATAGGAGTTGGCATCAGTGGCTAGGAAGGAATGGAAGCAGCCTTGGCCAGTGACTGACAGCCCAGTTCAAATATCTCCAGAGGCTCTTGGAGATTCTTGGCAAGCATTCCTGTTTGAAAATGTGCAAGTTCTTATGTTTTCTTCCACAAAAATTTACACTGCTGTGTTTCTGCTCTCTCATCTGTGATTTCTCTGCTCAGGTTTGTTTCTGGTTTTTAAGTTTACAAGTGAGCAAAACAGTGACTTGTATTCTTTAGATACCTAGAAGTTACTGGAAGTCTGAAGAATGAGTTAGGCAATCTAATATTTGAGTACAAGTGTTTTGCAAGTTAAAGAAAATAATTTTGTTTCTTTTTCTGTTTTGAAAACAAATATATCTGACTTCAGTTACTCTTAATGATCCCTTCATTTTCCCAGTTTATTGAGACATACTGTTTTCATGTGTTACATACTTCTGCCTCATTCTTAGAAAGGAAAGAAAAGAAAACCATATGTTGTGATTTAATGGTAAATCCCAGGGATTGTCTGTGTGGTTGTAAGGGGTATGTATATAAGCCATAAGACAAAATTACTGCCCCTATCTAAACTACATCTACCATAGAAGATATCCAGTAAGTAATTCTGTGATTCTGCTTAAGTAAAGAGATGTCTTGATATCTCGTGCTTTTTTAGAGATAACCTAGGTTTCTTACTTTTCTTTAATGCTTGCTCTATGAGCATTTTTATTCAGGAAACATTAAGTAGTGATTTAAGAAATATTGAAGGAGTCCAAGAGTGGAGTCCTTGCAAGGTAAACATCTTGTTTTAAAATTATGTTGAAAAGTATGTTGAACCGGGAGACTTTTATGGGAGATCTATGTGAAATGTTTAATCAGAGTCCCAACTTTATCTCCTGAGCGTTTAAATGGTGTTTTATGAGAATGAAGACCTAACTTCCGCATTTTTAAATTTCTTCACTTAGTGATATGTAATATCAGAAAGAAAAAAAATTAAATAAATAAGTAATTAAGAAAAAAACCCCAAATTTTAAAATATGTGTGTGAAATGTGCCTGTACTCTAAGCCAACAGGGGCTTTGATCTGTCCCTCATTCAGCTCTGTTTAGGAGCTTTCAGTAGACCATAATGGTCATACTAGCCCGTCCAATGACTTGTATTTCAAAAGACTCCTTTTAAAGGTCTAAAAGCAAAGACTAAAGAGTATAAAACTGAGACAAATAAGTAATGATACTTTCCCATGTTACTTTTCTACTTCCAACAATCTACATCTAAAAGACTCACAAAATCACCAAAATGGTGCTTTGTTTACCAAATGTGAACGTTCTGTCTTTGAAATTTTGCGACATATATCAGTGAGTTCTACAGTGTAAAATTAATTTCTGTTGTACCTGCTGTCTACTAGTGTAATTAATACCCTTTAGTCTTTGACACTGAATTAATCATGGTTTGATAGACAACTGTCTGCTATACTTGCTCACTTCCTGCTGAAAAATCTGTGTTTATTTGGTGTTAATTATTTAAATGGTAGTTTGAATATCCTTTTGTTACATGACAATAACCAATTAGTATAAACAAATTAGACTTGGGCAACTTTGGTTATTAAGGTGGGTTGATGTAATAGGGTCAAAGAATGAAAAAGAATTCATCCTTGAATACCTTGAATTGTAGTGTTTTTTTTCTGTCCATGTTTAACTCCTGAAACCAGATAGATGAACTGGGGGAAAAAATCTCGACTGCAGTTGCAATGCATGTCTCAAAAGTTATTCAAAGGTAAATTCAGAAGAGGAAATCACTCCTAATGCTACTGGCATTGTTCCAGAATAGAGAGAATCATCGATTGTGTGTAAGCATGAATAATTGTGAAAATATGTTAGTGTTCTTAGCCTTAGGAAACAGCCTTTCTATGTCTGTAGAGGGTCTTTTTTCAACAATTGCAGCAATTAAACATTCAGTTGCAGTTTCTGGAATTTCCAGTATTGCAAAGCTTTTGCTGAACATTAGAACAACCTTGCTTTTCAATTTTTGCTGCATTGATTCACCTTAGCAAATGTAGTACACAAATTTTTATTGTTTGGGGTTTTTTGTTTTTCCTCCTAAATACAACATTTAAGTGGGGTGGTGGTTTTTTACCCATTCTGTTTCATTTTTTTTGCCAGAGATTTATCCAGTGTTTTTGTTTGATCCAAATTTAAAGAGATATTTCAGACTTGTTTCAATTATTTCTTTTGTTGTTTATCTTTCATATTCTAATCAATGAGTTGTACTTCGTGTAATATTAAAAAAGACTGTTGAAAATGAAAGGGCTTTTATTTTAGGCTAAGATGCAGATTTAGATGGACTGTAGAACCAGTATGGCTATTTTTATATGTGCTCTTTCAGAAAATGGAAGTCTGCAGCATAAAATAAAAATAAATGAAATGTTTAGCATATAAGAAATTAAGTGCCAGCATACTCAAGATATTCCATTTTTGTTACAAAAAAATCTAGCACTTAAGCTTTTGTGTTCAGGGGGCTGGTGTGCATGTGTCATCCTCAGGAAGTTGCAATTTCACACTACTTGGTTATTGCTGGTGTCTGATTATGTGCTTCTTTCTGTCCTAAGCAAAATCCCTGGGTTGGCATGCTGTATAAACCAGATGACATTTTCTGAAAACTTTCTGCAATGTCATCTACTGATGGTGATGTATGTCTGAAAGCTTTTCTGTCTGATGCTAATTATTGATAGTAGGGCAACTGAGGCTAATAGTGCAACAGTGTCATTATTTACCTGGCATTCATTGCTGGAATAATCCTTAAGCTATTTTTACCTGTTCTAATGTCAAGTGTGATTATTTTAGGAGTGTATAGTATGGATTCACCTATACAATAAGTATAAAATAGCCTTACTAAGTATACTAAGAATAACTTGTATAGTAAATAAAAAATCCCCTTATATGACTTGCATTCAGGAAGAATACAATGCAATATTCTTGCTCTGCTCTGATATTCCTGTTTTGAAAAATGAGCTTGATTGAAACCTCTATAAAGAAGCAGTATCCTATAAAGTATGGCATTATTGAGAACTTTTCAGCTTTGTTTGTGAGCAGATTTGTATCTGCTTTAAAGGATTATGTGGACAGAAACTAGATAAGTTACTAGAATTCTAGGAGATGCAGACTCAGTCTTTGAGAAACTGTTGCATATTAAAGCTTTTCTTTACTTTGAATTCATGAAAACCTGCAACTTACGTTTGAGTGAATATTTGAGGCCAGCAGATACATTGCTACATCAGCTTTGGGCACTTGGGGGATTAGTTTTACATCTGTGATTCAGAATGTTTCACATCACACAGCTAGCTTGGGCGAGGGCTCTTTGCAGAGACTTAGAGATAATTGTTTTAGACAAGACTTTGCAATATCAAATGGAGTGAGAGAGAGCCTCCATGAATGACTAAATGGGGTCACTGAATACACTGACCATTTTGTAAGTTGTTATGCTGGGTGGTGACTAGCTTCACGTTGTTCTGAAGGTCTGTGCAGGAGAAGAAACTGATGCTTGTGTTGGGATCTTCTTGCTTTGACACTTAATTCAGTTATGAACCATTTTTCTCAAAGTTTTTGATGACAGTATGACTTAATTGCCCTGGTTTCTCCTGTTCTGTGATGAATGGATACAGTACAGACATTACTGGAGACATTTTTGGCATGTATGAGATGTAGAGGGTGAAAAACTATCTTGTCTGCTAGTGTTGAAAACAATCAACTGTAAAGAAGATATCGTTAAGGATTTTTTTGCTCTTTGTTCATATTTAAAGACATTGAGTAGTAAAATCCAGCTGAGTAAGATCTGCTTATGCTTTTTCTTATCAAGAGTACTATGGGAAACATAACATCTGGATGGAATATGTATGTCAGTAAGTCATATTTATCCTGAGGGTTATTGAGGACCATGCAGAATACCACTAGTGTATTGATAATTTACTTAAGGGAACAATGGAGATACTGAGTTATTCTAGTAGTGACAGAAATCTGAAATGTTGAGCCTGACAGGAAAAAAAACAATTTTTTCCATGTTTCATCTGTTTATTCTGTAAAGTATCTTCACAGAAATAAAGTCAGATAAATCGTTTGGCCCTTTCTGCAGATTAAAACGTTCATCAAAATTAACGTGACTATATAAGGAAAGAATTCAAGTGTTTGGTAAAGTTTTTTTGAAATTATACATTTGGTTACTAATTGGCAACTTGCACTTTTAAAATAACTCCATAACAAATTCCTTTTGTTGTATAAAGCAGCTGCTCAGGATTAATGTCACATCAACGTCTCAGGCTGCAGGAAGAGGATGGATGAGTAAAGCTAAACCTCAAATGTCAGTGAGCTCTTTATTTTTACAATAGAAGACTTTTGCAAGTGATCAAAACAGCTGTCAAGTCGGGTGAAGAAGAAAACCAATGACTTGAACACTCTATTGCTTTACCAGTGGCTTTATTTATTTATTCATTTATTTGTTTTTAAATAGAACTGTTTTCTCTTAATGGCACATTAACTGATTAGGAGCTGATTGCAATAGCAAGGGTTGATCATTACCTGCTTTACATGCTGAGCACTTTATGACATCTAATCTGGCTCATTGATGCTATTTTCTTACTCCATGTTGCCATATACAAGAGACATGCAAGCAATCTATTTGATAGCAAAGTAACATGCCCAATATATCTATAGTGGGGTTTTATTACTGTCAGTTAATGGAATATTCAGGACTTTCCACTGGAATTTTTTTAAAATCTTTTTAAAAAGAATGAAAGAATGGAAGGGGAAAATATCAGTTCCTGTCTTTGGGAAGGGAGAGAAAGCAGGTGCAATGTTATAGATAAGTGAACTTTATCTCAGTGTCCATGAAAAGAAATATTTGTAAAAAAGAAAAACAAATCAAGGTGATTAACTGTCAGAACAAATTTTTCATGGGGAAATTATACCAAAGTGGTTTAATTTCTGTCTGACAGAACATTAGCACCTCTTCTGTGTGACTAGAGGAGAAAGCAGTGTGACATATCACAATGATCACATATCAGCTCTGAGCTTCATATAAGCAGGCTGGTAAAACTTAGTCTTGATGCATCTTCTGTCAGGTGTGAACTGGTGTGTTTTGTAGGAGTATTAGGAGGTAGGTGTCAATGCTTCTTTAAGTGGAAATTTAAATACTGAGTGAGGATTGGCAGGGTCATTCCTGGGTTAAGTGCCACTTAATATTTTCATTAGTGATCTGGATAATGAATAAAGACTCACTCACTGAATTTGCATTTGAGATGAAGCTGGAGAGGAAGGAGGTTTTATTCTAGGATAAGTTTTAAATTGAAAGTTACCTTTGCAGTTGTGAGATTCTCTGAGAAAGGAAAAAGAATACAAGTAATAGGTATGATGGCAAGCTCCCACACATAGAATTTAAGAGATATCTGCTGCCTAAACACCATGATAGCAACAACTGAGTAACTAACAATTCTGTAGAAAAAGATCTTGATGTTACACTAAGATTCAATGTGACTTGACAGCGGTGCAAAGTTATAGGGAAGGGAGTCATCTTATGGTGTGATACTTTAGTATGACCAGGCTTGGTTGTCACATTAAGTGAAGGTGTGGACCAGATGAAGAGAATTATTCACCAAGGTGAAGGATAAGAATGACTGAGTGCTTAGAGATATGACTTGCAAGGAAAGACAAGTGGAACTGGGCTTTCTTCAGTGAAACTTTTATATCAGTTCTTTGATATGCAAAAGGCTGTTGTAAACCCAAAGTAGATGGATGCCTCTTGTGAAGAAGATTTATAGATGCACATTAATGAAACCAAGATACTCAGTAAATTAAGATAGAGGGAAATTAAATGCATTTCCTAACATACTGTAGTATCTGTAGTTCTTGACATTTCCAGCAATTTCTTACAAAGACTAGATATTGTCTTGGGGCAGAAAATGGTCTAGATTGTCTTGAGTGCTTTCAAGTCCTAAGACTTCATGAAAATAGTTTCATTTACTTACTGATGTTATTGGTTAACATTTGGTTTCAATCTTGTGTGATTTTTATTAGAAAAGCTGTTTCATATGAGATGTTTGAACCTTAGATGAATCAAGAAGATATCTTGAGGATATCTTGGGGAAAGGAACACCTGTACTAATGATGAGTTATAAGCAAATCAGCTCACCAGGTCAGTTAAAATACATTTAAATTAGAGTGGTGTACACACATAGCTGTGTGATGTGTCGGTGTAACCCTGGATAAGATCTGGGGTCCCTGCTAACATGAAATAAGGATGAACTGTCATATTATTCACTATTTCCAGAAAGTAAAATATTTATATTAAGAGATGGAAGTAGTGCAAATTGAGAATGGAGAAAAAACATTGTTACTTATAGGAACATGGAGAGGAAGTAGTGCTTCTTGATGTTTTATTGTTCATAATCCTGTAATCTTTCTATGTCTCAAACTGCTTCTGGGTGTCAACTCCTTTAGCCAAAACGTGTTTTCAACAATATAAATTACTTTAAAAACTATGTAATCTGTGTCCTTTGCACCCTGAATAAAATAATGCATTGGAAGAAAATTAATCCCATCCCCCATTTTGCTTTCTGTTAAAACTTTCCATTGAATTTGTAATGAAAAAGATAGCAAGCTATTTTTTTTTGTTTTAGCATAATTTCATTCCAATACCAACAGAAAGGTGACAGTAACTTTACCACTAGCTAAGAAATCTGTCCTCATTGTGCATGGAATCTGTAGCCTTAGACCATTTAAAAAGGCTAAATATTTGTGGTATAAACAAAAATTAACTTTCTATACCTATTTTTTATTAAATACATCAATGACAACTCAGAAGTTAGGTTTTACAATAATATACAGGATGTGGTGATGTTGTAAGAAGGTATTATTCATTTGTCTTAGGAAAATTTGAGAACAAATCTTGCTCAATATAAGAATTATTTTTTTAAAAACCCCGAACAACTAAAAACCCCCAAGCCCAAAACATATCTCCGTGTGTTTCTTTCATAATTCATGAGTTTCATTTTGCTGTGAAGCAGAATAATTTCAGTAGATTTCATTTTAAAGTGGCTGAGTAATCTTCTGTAAAAGTGAATGCTTATGAATTTCTCCTCAGAATTAGTCTATCTATGTGTTTTGGATAGTCCTTCTGAAGATATTATTCCCAAAAGAAGTTGCTTTCACAATACTGTTGGTGTTCTCAGAGATTATACATGCCTTTTGGAGGGGGGACAGCAGAAATGTGCATTAAATGTTAACATTTCCAAAAGTTTGGTATGACATATTTACTGTCAGAACATTTGCATTGTAACAGTCTTGAATTTGCATATTGCTGTTCTTTCAGATGAACAATGCTCACAGAATACTGTTTTTTCTCTTATAATTGCTCAGTGTGCAGTTGTTTTTTTTGCAGAAAAATGTTGACCATGGTGGTGTCTCTCTAGAAGAGAATTCTCCTTCTAAAGACAACCTGAGATGTGTCAGGTGAGACACATTGTGAAAATGTTTCTTTCCTTCTGATGAAAGTACTTGAGCATAGTTCAGGATCTGCATCTAAAAGATACTGAAAATTAGTTAAAATGAATCCTACTCCTCTGTAGCTGAGGCTGGGCACCCAGAACATGAGAAATGTGTATATTGTGGGAAAGCAATTATTTTCCCCCTTTAATGTAAGTAAATTATTTCATGCTAATAAAATTGGGATATAATTTGCCTCCTTACTTGTGATGTAGATTTACAAGCAGTCCAAGAACTTCAGCAGCAGTACTAGCTTGGTAGTAAGATAATTTGACAGAACACTCCTATCCAGCAGTAGAATACCTGGAGTTATTGTATAAAAGGGCAAGAATAGCACTGAATTTAAAAGCCAGTACCAGCAATGGAGAAAAGTTGATTTCTTTGCTAGTCTATAACATTCATGCAACTCACAATAGTGGTGTACAAACGATTCTTCAAGTATAAGGACCAAACCAAATCTTAGGGTAAGCTGTTCATGAAACTGGCTGAAGGTTTTTTTTGCCTAATTGTCTTATCTATTGTCTAAAATTTGAATGCTTTCCACTGAAGGAAGAATTAATCTTACAGGTGCTGTAATCAGCCTGCAAAAGCCTTTTCTTTTTAACTTCATTAAAGGAAAATTAAGTTATTTGAAGAAAAATATAGTCACAAAGCACATTCACAAGTGTACTGAAAGAACATATGCTATTTGTGCATGTCTTGAGAGAAAAATGTAGGTAGGGTTTAGATGAAAGCTGCTGCTTGATTCACTGGACCAGTTACATGGGAACTTGACTGGGAACACATAATTTTTTTCTGGAAAAAAAAGAGGTTATATAAGCTTATTTAAAAATACAGTAGAACTCTGTATTCAGAGAGTGAGTTGAAAGTTTTCAGAATTAGGGAGCTTAGTCCAAAGTAAAAGAAAACTACTAGTTCTATTTTTGACAGAGACTACTCTTATGATTTCTGTAGGCTGTCAGCCCTGAATCTCATTCAAATGTTTTGGTGTGCAATGGAACACATGAAATAAATTATGAAACTGACATAAAAGGGAAACTTATAGAAAGTTTTGGAAATCTGTGCTCAGTATTTTTCCAAAATCAGTTAATATCCTGCTGGTGGTTAAGGAAACTACCTGAAGGAATAGAAAGATGATATTTCATCATTTCAGAGTAAATAAATCCTACAAAACTCCAGAGAAATGTAGACATCAGGCAGAATTGTAGGAACTTGATGTCACAGTAGATTCAATGTTTTGTGACAAATATAAAATGAATGCACTAAGCATGCTATTTGTAAGAACTTATAAGAAATTGTTTATTTACTCAAAGCCCAGTTGGACTGCATGCTTAATGTATTTGAACTCCTACTGAGAACAAAATGAGGTCATGAATCTCCCTGATAAACATGAGGCTATACATATGCTTTCACAAACATTGTTGATCCATAGAGTTTTGGTTTTTAGCTAATGAATCATAAGATGTTTTGAATTGGAATTAAAGATCCTCTAGTCCAACCCCCATCCATGGGCTAGATCAGGTTACTCAACCTGACCTTGATCACTTCCAGGGATGAGGCATCCACAGCTTCTCTGGGCAACCTATTCCAGTGTCTCACAGAAGTGTTTCCTCAGAGCCAATCTAAGTCTATCCCCATTCACTTTAAATCAGTTCTCCTTTGTCCTGTCACTGCAGACTCTGATGTGAGTGGCGACATAACTTGCAGGAGGATTGTTCTTTGATGTGACTGGGCACTGCGATGAGCCTGACTGGCTGGTAGCTCCTATGGTGGTCCTTGTTAGCCTCTTTTAAAATGGATGAGCTATTCCCACTTTTCCAGTTACTGTGACTTTGCCTGATGGCCTTGACTTTTCAAATATGATGAAGAAATTCTTCTCAACTACTCCAGCCAATTCTTTCAGGACCTTGGGATGCATCTCATCAGGTCCAGTAGACTTGTTTATGTAATTAAACTGTCAGTGGACTGAATTGAAATGTGTGGTCATTCATGGAGTTGAAAATAAAACAAAAATTTTAGAGGATGTTCATTCTCAGCCTGTTTTAGTCTGTCCCATCTTGCCTTCTTGGTTTCAGGTTGAGTCTTTCAATATCTTTCAAGAGCATTAATAAATGTACTGTACTGAAAATTTTTAAAGTAAACAATCTCCCCCCACAATCTCTTTTCAAATCTACCTGTAATCCACCAAATTTACTTCATGATGCTAAACAAGTTATAGCTCCTGGAATGCATTTTCCCAAATGGTATGAAACTGATTTATCCACATCTATGAACATAGGTATGAGTTCTAAAGTGCCTACTTTCTATACCAAGAATAATGCATGCTGCATTTAAGAATTGTATATGTGGTTCCAGAAGATCATCCTCATGATCTCATGTTTCAGCCCTCATGTTGGGCTGAAATAATGACTCTGTAACAGTTTTATCACTGTGATGCCAATAAGAATAGGATAAGAGTATGTATGTCTGTCTCTTCCAAGTGTTGTACAATTTTCTGGTGAATAATGTATCTGCTATAAGTTAAAACACTCCTTTGGCCACCATAGTATTTTTATCTGGGACAGTCTTGTGGCAAATAAAACCAAGATTAGGAGTCTTTGCAGAGATGCTACAGCACCTATTTACAATCTTTTTTCAATTGCATAATTTACTCCTTGGTGAAAGCTTTTTTCTGCATTACTTGTTTATCCTTTTGATATTGTGATAATCATCCCTGCACTGTGAACTGAATTAATTGGTATTTCTCAACTGCAAATGCAATCCAAGCAATTGTTTTTGTAATTAAACTCAGTTTCCAGTTTACTTTACTTTGCTTACATTATCTGGTTAGGCAATCATTGTCTGGAACATAATAAAATGATCTAAATTACTGTTCTTGTAAGAATAAACCAAACAATAATTAATATGCTATTGCTTCCTTAGGGACATTCTTTGAAGATTTCAATGAAAAATTAGAGAAAGCAAAAAGAAGTCAATAGAATATGGGAATTATGTTGCCATAAAGACATATTTGAGCACTTCATTTCATTTGAAGTGCCTAGGGAATGTGAAAGAATTAAATAAAATGAAAAAACTAAAAGATTTCCTATGGCAGGAAGCCTTTGAGGTGAAAGTGTAGTGAATCATGTGAGGGATATTGTTCAAGTGCAGTTCCTGTTCTAAGAACTGAATGAGTTAGGCCTTTACAAAACTATGGTGTTAAGTGTGTATACTGTTGTGTACACATGTGTGTGCCACTTTTTTTATTCAGACTATTATAGGCATAGTTAAACTAGATTAGTGGCATTCTTCACTGTAATCCATAGTAGAATTCTAAAAGGCATAGTAAATACACAAACAGTAGCCTGCAGCCAGGCTTGCTGCCACTGACACATATACACTGCTGGCTGGTCGTGCCGTAGTCACTAAAAGGCAATTGTGTGAATACCTGTAAGTCTAAACATTTTTAAGTCTATCACATTAATTTGTGCTGCTAAATGAGGCCTTTAAATTCCTTGCTTTGCAAGTAGTGACACCCCTGCAAATAAATTAAGAAAATCCCAAAATCCAACAAACAGCAAGAGATGCTAATCCTTCTCTAAAGCAGACTGCAAAAGTATTTCATACTAGTAATGCTTCCATGTTTAGAATAAACTTCGTAGATTGTCGTGATTGAAAAGATGGTGACTTTTCTTGCTTTATACTCCACCTGTATGGAAACAAGTTACAGATGTTCTGTGCCTCATTATATTCTTCAAATGCATTTGCCTTTCCCCTCAGAGCAATGGCAAACCCCTGAAGATCATCTTGGTAAATTGTTGGATGCCACTGTTCAGCTAAAAAGGAAATATGCTTTAAAAAATGCCTTGCCTGCACCTTCCCTCACAAATCTTTTTTGTGCACTTTGCTGGTTTTTGCTATTAACTCCTCAATGAAGGGCTAATTTTTCCTGAATTTCTGGAAAACTGTTAGTGTATTCTGTGAACAGCTATGGATAAATAACAAGTGTTGTGGTGTTGTGTTAACCATTCAATAGCTGCTAACTCTGAGTGGCTGCTATTTTTAAAAAGATATTATGTCTTATTGCAAAATGTATTGCTTTATCCAGTGAACTTCAACCTGGAGTTGGCTATGTGTGTATTTTATAATTTTTTTTTGTCCCAAACTAAGATGTTGGAGTTTCTTTAGAATATAAGAAGACATAAGGATGTAGTTTAAATTGCTGCCAACTATATCGAGGCTGAGAAGAGCTGTGAAAAATCTTAATTTTCTGGAGATGGTTAGACTTGGATGCACCAAATACTAGTTGCAAGGGGATTTTAAACAGATTTTATCCAACAGATACTGTGTCAGAAAGGAAGCAGTATAAATTATTAGATTGAATGCACAGTCTATGATCTGTGTGGAATGTTATCACTAGGAGAATGGATGTAGATGTAGAAAGCAAAATCTACTAAAACCAAATGTCCAAGTCCAGCAATATGTTGAATTATATGGGATGTGTACTACATGTGAAATGGCTAAAGATTTTAAAACAAAAGAATTGTACAATCGATATTCAGTATTTTACAATTATCTGTCCTTTCTTAATGGAAGGACATAAGACTTTTGTTCAGAAAATACATGTAACTAATGAGTTTACTGACCTGCAGGAAGGAGCATGATTGTACATGTACACTAAAGTGTTTACTGGCTCATATTCTTACTGACTTTTAAATTTGTTTTAAGCCATAAAGCATGATTATTCAAATTTATTTGCATAACTAGAACATTCCAGGACCATAAAATTCAGAAGCGTTCCTGTGGTTTTGCTTATGGAACCCAAAAATATTTAATCAATTGACCTATTTCACATCCTAGTCAAAACCATAGAATGAAGAAATTTATCTGAATTCTTCAAATGCTGTAGCAAAATTTCCCGTAATTACTCTTTCTGTTCTACATATGAAGGACTTAAATTTACCCTAATAATGTTAATTATCTTAGGC